ACAATAATAGCCTTATAAATTAGAAGAACGCAGTTTATTTCTAAAAAATTTTTATTTGACAAAATTGTATGGGTGAAACGTAACGTAAAATGCAGTCAAGTCAATTATGAATAAAATGACACAATTCATAAAAATAAATGTATAAACAAGTTTTTAGAAATGTGAGAGGATCTGTTTTTCGATATGGATACATACTCGTATATGATGAATTAGAGTTATTTACATCATACCTAATTTTATTGAGACAATTAGTAAAAACAATCAAATATAATAAAAAATGCTGGAGATAAAAGTAACAAAGTTGATGTTATTAATTTTAGTACAACTTATAAAAACTGTTCAAAATGACCACCGTTATTTCTACAACAAAGGTTAATTCGGTGAAGAAAGTTAAAGGACACCCTTTGCAGTTCTTGAAGGCAATTTGGATATGCCTCCACAACTTTTCTGCAGTGTTAGATGTGGAAGCATGCACTGCTGTATTCAAAATGCCCCAAAGATAATAGTCGCAAGGTGTTAAGTCTGGTGAACATACAGGCCAGTTAATAGGAGCATTATCCCTTCCACCCCATCGACGAGGAAATCTTTGGTTCAGATACTGACGGACATTTACAGTGAAATGTGGTGGAGGTCCATCATGCATGAACCACTTGTTAGTTCTGAGTAATACCGGCACACCTTCCAATAACTCGGGTAGTGTTTTGCAAAAATGTTAAATAAAATTCCCCATTCAGTTTATTGGGTAGAATAACAGGGCCAATAATAATGCTATCAGTGAGTTGTATTTGATTGTTTTTTCTAATTTCTTTAATAAAATTAGACACATTGTAAATAACTCTAATTCGTCGTATGTGTGTATATCCATATCGAAAAATCAAGTAACAGGTGATATATCTTATGGTCTTAAACACTCATCAAGAATTGTCAGGCACAATGACTTAAAGATCAAACTGAAATTACAGTCAATCTACAAAATCAGTGCCTACTAGCACCTTGTTAGGTATTGTAATACGGGTGGCAAGATAATGTAGACATTCAAAAAATATTTTTTTGTACCCAAACCGCTCATTTAATCAAAATTCTACAAGAGGCGCAAAAACTTCCATATAGTATCACTTATCAGATAAAAAATAGATTCATTATTGCCCAAAAGAGGAAAAAGTTATGAACGGATATTATCACCATACACCAATTTTGTAGGAGTTGTAGGTTTTGAAAAACACTCTGTATAACACCAAAATGTGTAGACTGAAAGCAAAAGTCCACATCCCAAAAATAATGAAAATCGATTAATAGGTAGGTATACGAGTTATTTCGAGTTATGTACAAAATTCAAAAAATTTTCATCAACATTGAGGCCATCTAGTGGCCAAACTAAGCGATTTCGGATATAGGTGAATTAGCCTAGATCTGCCTATTTTGAGCCCACGAATCTGTAGTCTTCCGTTGTACACGTTATTCTGGGACACCTTGTACAAGAAGATTTTGCTCAAATTAGTATAAAAACAATCTCAGAAATTGTCGTTTGTCTGTAGAGTGCCTAAACATTTTATACATTATAGTTATTGCTTAAAAACAGTTTTTTTAACATAGGTAATGGAGCTACCCCAGATTCTTGGGATCACAATAACTTATTGAGTATTTTCATTACTGAATTATGAATTACGTGTTATGAAAACGGCATACAAAGCATTATTACGTTTTTTATTATCAAATTCATTAAATATGTAATGACTAACGACATTAAAATCAAGTTTCTGATAACTTCCAATAGGTATACTTATTATCTTATTTTCGTGATAATAAATGAGTGGTAGCTTCATAGATAGAATATTACGATCCACAAAATGTAATGTAGGGTGTTTGTAAATATGTGCAAATTATTTTCGGGGGTGGCTGCCGAGTGGTTGAAATATGCTTAGTTTCCGAGATACTGTTTAAATTTGAATTTTTTATTTATTTCTAAATAAAATACGACCGTCAAATTTCGAGTCAATATCTTTAAAACTCTTTAAAATATAAATAATTAATTAATAAAAATAAATAAAAAATTAAAATTTAAACTGCATCTCAGAAACGAAGCATATTTCGACCTACGTTTATATGAACTTTTTTTCACAAAATAACTTCGGCAACCACCCCTAAAAGATTTCGCAATTATTTACAAACACCCTGTATAACAATGAGAAAAATTAGGAGGCATAACCTCTTAACAGTTTACAATTTATACATGTCATTTTTGCAATAAAAAAAGTCTACAACTATCTAAACAGCTAAATAGAGCTCTCATGAACAAAACATTTTTCAGAACGAGTACCGTCTCCAGCCAGCAGCAGCAGCAACCGTTCACTAAACACAAATACAATACCTGGCAGTTCCGAATCGCAATCGCTTAACACAAGAGACATGTACCGCTACCAAGAACCCATTGAAACTGACATGGACAACCGTTACCTCTCCACCCAGTACTACCTACAACGAGGGAGCAACTTGTACTCCACTTTACCTTCAAAAAAGACTCAATTCTTTGCCAGTGAGTACAAAACCGAAAGGTCAGTCACTCCCGATATCACCAGAGGATTAGAGAGGAACCACAACACTCAGGGCGATTATGAACACTTAAAGATAAATTACCAGCATTCATTGCCGAGAAACTTTTACAAAACAGATCATGGCCTACTTAACCAGAAACTTGGAATACCTGTACGGGTCCCAGAAGTAGACAAGTTAAATATACAAAACGTGCCTTTAGTTTATCCTACAGGTGATGCTCCAACAAACATGAGACCTCAGAATGATTGGAGATATCGTTACAAGTCACAAGATGCAAAACCGTTTGACGACAGTGATGAATCATTCAAAATATCACCCATAGATCCTAGACATTCAAGAGGGTTTCAGTCTTCGACACCATCGTCAAAAGCTATTGACCTTAAGGCTGCTATAAACTTAGAGGACAAATTGATGTCACCAAAGAAATCTACCATGTCAAATGAAGAGCTGTATGCTGTGATTCATAAAAGTAAGAAGAGGATGAATATAGAAACTGAAAACACACCGAGATCTTCCCCCGTCACAGTTGGCACCGAGACGCCACCCAAACAAATCATAAAAAGTCCCGAAACAGGGTATTTAGGAGATAAGTCCAGATCCCGGCTTAGCTGGTCACCTAATAAAGGAGATTACGTAGACTTTAACTCGGATATCGATAAATTGTCTCCACCAAATGAATCAAGATCAAGGCAAAGTTGGGCGTGTAGTGAAAGGAAAGGTCAGAAATCCAAACAGACGTCCACGATAGACTTTAAACGGTTACTCTTGCAGAAATCTTCCAGTAGCACCCCAAGGAAACTGTCTGCAGTGGAACAACTGAAGCTGTCGAAGCAGCAAATCAAACCTCCGCAACCCAAAACGCAGCCGGAGATGAGCATTTTAGATTTGAGTGGATCCCCCAGGGGTTTAGTGAACAGAAGGATGTTAAATTCCGTACCAGGTTCACCGAGCAGAGACTTGAAGCCTGCACCCAAAATATTGTCACCGAGATCGCAATGGAGATTCGCAAGCCCAAGAAGTGACGTTCTCTCTTCTACAATACTGGAAGATTGTAGGGAAGATGAGACCTCTACCAGTTACGGAGAAAAAAAGCAACCTTCACCCAAATCAGATAATACTTTCAATTCGAATTATGTAAATAATGAAAATTTACTTGACGATATCCAAAACGATCCACGAAACATATCAATATTATCTGCTGCTCAGAGGCTGCAAGCTCAAAGAGCTCAGTTTTTCAACTCTACGCCTACTATTGAGGAAAATCGGTCTAGAATTCAAGAAAAGCCATCCTGTCCACCTACATTAGAAACTGCGTTTTAATTTTGAGGGTGATTACATAATTTATTTTTGTACATAGTGTTTTATCGATTTATTTTATTTATTCAATAATGTCTAGTCGACGAGCCGTTATATATTTTTCACTTTTATATCACATGAAATATCACGGTTGTAGTGTACAATTTTTCTGTACAAACTTGTGTTGTATATAATAATATCTGTTTTGGCGAGGCTTCCAATTAATATATGTAGCAAAGTTGCCTTAAATTATTGTAAATCTTAATATATACCGATTTTTGTAAATAAACATTTAGATTTGGCTATAAAATTATTTAGACTACCTACCAGCCATTAAGAAAGTGTAACGAAATAAAAACATCCAAACTTTTAATTATCACCAAATTACTAACCAAATTAATATATTAATTATTAAAGTTATTCTTAAAATTGAGAAAGCTTACTTGACTATATTTATCCTTTGGTTTCTGCTTGTTCCGCTATGCAAATAAAAAGAACACTACACATCACTTTCACACACTAATGCAAGAAAATTAATGTTTCCACTATTTTAATAAAATATAAATATTTTTTACACACCTTCCACAGTATTACATATTCGTTGATTGAAAATACAAAATTTCAGTTAGCAGCACCTTTAACGCCATTTTTAAACAATTGAAATGTTCATATTCAAATCGAAGTCAAAACCTACTATGTAATAATTCGTTATGCGAAAAAATACTTTATTTGAACTTTTGAAGACAATATTATTATGTATACCGATATATTTTGAATGACTAATCCTTTTTTAATAACATTTATGAAAATGTTATGAATCAAAATACCTCGTTTTGGATTTCGTATTAGTGGCGACATCTCTAGCATGTATGTAGTTAGAAAGACTAATTAAATATGCAAAATGCGAAAGTATGTCGACTGTCAAAGTAATTTGAACCATCATAGATCTAATGTAGTATAGATCTATGATTTGAACAAGATACGAATTAGTAAGGTTAAAATGAGAAAACTAATTAGGACATAGATTTTCTTTATTTTATTTTTTAATTTCATGATGGTTAAACACATTGATAACAATAAACAAAACATACCACTCGGTTGAATAGATAAAAAATAATTGTTCTTGTTTTACAAAATTACTAAATAGGTAAGCAAGAGACATTGTTGCAAAGGAAATTTTGTGTTAATATTGTTTAAGTAAAAATAGACTGCTCCATTTAAAAAATATCACGTTTGCCTTATCAAATTCAAGTAATACACTAGATATATAACAAAAACTCAAATAAAAAAGCATTTACATCTTATATTTATTTTCTAATATTAAATTACATTCATTCAACTTGATATTCAACAACTCGAATACACTTCTCTATCAAATAATCAGTTTTTTATTTGTGGGGGTCCCATTGGCGGTCGAACAGGGCCCATTGGTCCCATTGGGCCCATGGGCATCATTCCCATCATTGGAGGACGCATTCCCATCATGGGAGGCATGGGTCCGTGCGGGCCCATCATCATCGGAGGCATTGGTCCACCAGGTCCGATAGCTGAAAAAAAAATTCACATTACTAAAAATATAATTCATAACTGAATGTTTGTGCTATAATTTAATGATAGTCCCAATGTTACTTTTCAGGAAATTAATGTCCAACAGTAGCATCTCGTCGTAAATAAAGATTGATTAAAATTTCAATTTATATAATTAGGTACACTAGTTTGCAAGTTATAAGTTTTATAATTCACTGTGGCAATAAGCTTCAAATTTCAATGTGGTTGACTGCCAAGTCAGTGAGTACCTATTCATAGCTGTTGCGATAAAAGCCTCAATTCTTATACTATTGAACCGTTTCCAGTAAGGAATTATATCTCAAGATTTGTGTAGTAAATATTTAACAAACCTCCAGGTGGCATCATGCCTGGACCTCCTGGTCCGCCAGGTCTTTGGCCCATCGTAAGTTGTGCAGGTGGTGGTATAGCAACACCCCCTTTTCCAGGCTGAGCGAAAGGATTGTTTGCTATTTTGCCAGCTTTAAAAGCGGCGGTTGTGGCATCTATCAAATGTTGTGCTTGCTCTTCCATCCATTTCTGGTAATAGAACTTGACATTATCCTTGTGTTTTCTACCCGTGCAATGTGTCTTCCTCACACTAGGGGAATCATGTGTTAAATAAGTATCGCAATAGTCACAGTAGTATTTCGGCATTGTTATTGTTTATATTTTTGGCTTGCAAAGTTAGTACCTCTTTGTGTTTAGCTTCTACAACAAAACAAATTGTAGTTAACCTAATCATAATCAATTAATACTAAACCACAGATCACAGAAACAATTACTAAACTAAATATTCGAATCAGTGTAGCCACACGCTCGGAAAATGTCCCTACAATATGTTTGGAAAAATCCCAAGATTCCCCTATGAAATGATTCTAAAAACTTAAAAATGTAAAATGTAGGAAACGCCGAAAAATACCTACGAGACATCGTAAAAATGTTTCCTCACATTTATCGTGATTGATTGAGATCTCCAGAGATTTTTTAAGATGCCAAATTAATAACTTATTTCCTTCTTCGGATGTAATCAGTAACACGGTAACCAAAGCAGTTTTTTTAAGTTTTGTTCATTTTCTTGATGACTAAACAAAATAGGAAAAAACAGATATATTTATAAATATATTTTAGATACCTATTCAAATCCATTACCACAGAAACAAACAATGTTTCGCAAAAGTGACTACACTTTTACAATCCGTAGATGATCAACTAGGGATTGATTTTATGACATTTACCGTTTTCCATTCACTAGACTTCATGCACTGGTGCATTACGCCCTGTGCTGCTCCCGAAAGGAACAGAATAAAATTGTACTTTTTACACTTTAGTGCTTTAACCGACCCTAACCTAAAAAAAAAGAAAGTATGGTTATCCGGACCTTTGCTTTATTCTGTAACTTTTTGCTTTTGACTGATTTCCCATTTAAAAATGGATAGCGATTTGGAAGTGCAAGAGTTATTGATGGAGGTAATTTTTTTTTAATTATACTGATATTGACTCGCTAATTTGCTTTTTATATTTATACACAGATTTTAGTAGAAAGTCCAAGAGACACTGTAGTAGACGACACGTCTGATTCAAGTTCGTCATCAGAGTCCTCCCTATTCTGCGAATTTTCATGGAATATGAAAAAGAAAAAGCCTGTTAAAAGGAATAGAATATCCAACTTTGTTGAAGTCACTGTAGACAACTATGGGGACGAGGAATTCAAGTCTCATTTTAGGATGAATAAAAAAACTGCCAATAAAATGATAGGTAGGTAAATTCATAGGGTATACTAAACACAAGTAGTTACTTATGTGAATTTTCAGAAATGCTCGAACAATCAAATTATATACCACGTCATAGTGATGGAAGAGAAAAAGTTTCTGCAAAGAGGGCTTTCCTGTTAGCGTTGTGGTATCTTAGTAATGACGAAACTTTTAGACAGATATCAGATAGATTCAACGTGTCATTCAGCAGTGCACATAGATGTCTTAATAGAGTTTTGAATTTTTTGATATCCATTAAATCACAAATAATAAAATGGCCAAATACTACTGATGAAATAAGTAAAGTAAATCAAGGATTTATGGAAAAATGTGGAATAAATAACATAATTGGAGTGATCGATGGAAGTCATATCGAAATAAATAAACCTAAAGAAAATCAGGACGCATACATCAACCGAAAAGGATACCACAGTTTATTATTACAAGGAATTGTAGACCATAAAAGAAAATTCATAGATGTTTTCTGTGGAGAGCCAGGTTCAATGCATGATGCCAGGCTTTTTAGAAAGTCTGGTATTTATCGAAAAATCACTGAGGACCCCACTTTTTTAGGAAATGGATTTTTACTAGGGGATACAGCTTATCCAAATACTTCTTGGCTAGTAACACCTTATAAGGAAAATCCCAGATTAACAGAAAATCAAAAAACCTTTAATTATAGGATATCTGTGGCAAGAGTGGTCGTAGAAAATTCATTTGGGTTATTAAAGGGACGTTTCCGCCGACTGAAAAAGTTGGAAAATTTTGACTTACAATTTTGTTCAAAAATTGTTCTATGTGCATGTATTTTGCATAACATCTGTTTAAATGAAAAAGATTTTATAGATACAGAATCAACAGATTTCAATCAACCCTCGAATCAACCAGACCAAAGTGGCACCAATTCAACAATTCCAAATATAACTGGAAACCGGCAGCAATTAATATTTAATGAAATGTTTAATGTTTAAATATGACATTACAATAACTGTAGCAAAGTAGATAGCACAACTAAGTAATCACCTCAAGTATGTATCCCATTCAGTAAGATAACGTAAACGTTATGTTAGAGCCGGGCATATAAAACAATGTGCAATAATGAAAATAATGTGTTACCTTCTAATAATAAAATGGGATACATACTTGAGGAAAATTAAAGAAATGTGATGTTAATTACGTTCTTTACATACATTTATTTACGTACTGAAAAACTTTTTTATACTTAAAAATGTACAGATTCTCAAATAAAATTTTTATTTA